GATGCACTATTCCTCGATATCAAGGGAGCGTTCGATAGCGTCAACCCGGAAAAGTTAGGCTATATCCTCTTAGGTATGGGTCTTCCGGTAAGGATGTCGAATATTATTCTATCCTTCCTTACTAATAGGAAGATCTTCGGATATTATAATGGTGGACTCATTGGCGAGGGATCTACCTCAATAGGCCTTCCGCAAGGCTCGGTCCTGAGCCCTCTCCTATATAATATTTACTCCGCTGTAATACATCGTAACATGGAGCTTAACGTTAAAATACTATCCTATGCGGACGACATCGTCATCTTTTATAGGAATAAGTCCATAGCTAACATTTGTTTTAAATTGAACTACAACTTTTCTATCATTGGCCAAAACTTACAGGCACATGATTTATTGATCGCCCCTCAAAAAACTAAATTTTGTATTTTTGCAAAATCCTCCAGATTTCGAACTCTAAGTAGACTCTACAACAAAATTAAACAACCCATTGTATATCTAAATCAGTGTATCAATATTTCACCTATGGCTGTTTTCTTAGGTATTACATTCGATCATTCCTTATCTTGGAAGCCACATATTACCTCCTTACTAAATATCTGTAATAAACGCCTTAACATTCTTAAAGCCATTACGGGTATTAAGTGGGGTTCTCATCCCCTCACAATTCTCTCTGTGTATAGGGGACTCATTCGCTCCACTCTCGATTATGGAGGACTAGTATTATATGACCTCCCTCCGGGCCGCACTATTCAGCTAGATAGAGTGCAATATGCCGCTCTCAGATGTGTACTTGGTCTCATGAGAACGACTCCTACCAATGTTCTTCTCGATCAAAATGCTGAATGGCCATTGGTTATTCGTCGCCTATTTTTAGCCACCAAGATCACTCTCTCTGGTCTCGTAGTACTGACTCCTAACTTTTCACATGAAATGAAGATCTCAGCTCCTCTTGAGTCGGATTGCACCAATGTTAATCCGGGTGATTCTCTAGATGCTCCTTCCATTTCCAATATACTTCGTTCACGTAAATCCTTCTTGCTATCTCCTTACTATCAAGAAATACATAACTTAGAACCTCCTAGATACCAGGGACATTTGAATTTTCCCGTAGCTAATAGATATATTGATATATCTACTGATACCATAGCGTTCTCAGAGTTGAGCAAATTTCACAAAAAAGTTGGGAATTTTTATTATTGCAAACATAAAAAAATCTCTGTCAGCGGGATGAATCGTAGGGCTGCTGCTATACTTGATCATAAAAACCTGAACTGTATGGTTTATACTGACGGCTCTATATTGCCTGATGGCAGGGCTGGTTTCGGGGTTTTTTCCCCTACACATAATATTAAAGCATCTGTTCCCTGCCCTCGCTCCCGGGTTATAATGCATGTGGAAGCGGAGGCCATAATATATGCAATTGACCTCGCAATTGAGTTGCGTTCGAACAAAGTTGGCATATTGTCCGACTCCAGGAGTATCATATCCAATGTTTCCAACCTCAACACTTCAAAAAGAACTAGCTATCTCTGTCATAAAATCAGAGACAAGTTAATATCTGCTTCTCAATTGGACATTCATATAACATTAATCTGGATACTTGGACACCGTAACTTCATAGGCAATGAGACTGCCGATCAACTTGCGAAATCAGCAGCTCTCTCTTCACAGAACACATGTCACTCCAACATATATTGCGGGGATCTCATTGCTAATATTAAACATGATTTTCAAAAACTGGCTCATGCATATCTTGAGGAGCAATTTAAATATAAAGGGCGGAGATACCGGGAAAACATCCCGAACCTATCGAATTCCCCGTGGTACAAACAATATAAATTTTCTAAGAGAGACGCAATTTCTTTAATTGCCAGGATTAAATCCTACCATGTATCTACCAGCACACACTTGATAGATAAAAATATTATTAATGATGAAACATGTGTATGCGGGGTCAGTCCAAGGAACTGGCAACATATTTTATTTAATTGCAACAGATATATACAAGCGTCCAACAATTTAATATTCAACCTCATTAATATGGATTTTTCTCCGTGGGACGATATTTTCCTTAGAGCTTTTACTAAAGATCTTAACATATTTACAACTATAGCAAAGTTTCTGAAACAAACAAATCAAATAATTTAAATGGATATACAACATACGATGGCAGCACCTGTCTGAGCAATGGCGTTGGGGCATGAGTCACTGATATGCCTCTAGCCAAATATTGAAGGAAGGAAGGAAGGTTTTGAGATAACATAAAAAGGTAAGTATATAAAATATATAAAATGAAAAGTATGTATACAGTATTGGTTATTAAAAAGTATTGATAATTATAAAAATTTATACTCTATAAAAACAGCATACATCGCTTATTTACAGTATAAAACTTTGACATAATTCAAAATGTAGCATATTTTGAGTTATGTCATTGTTGCAATAAGTTATATATAAATGTGTATGTATGTGTATATATATAATTTATTATTACTTGATACAGTTAAGTAATTAATATTAGCATATAAAATGTCAATGTTTTGAGGTTATGGGTACATATACATAATATAAAATATGTTCATGAAATAAAAAAGGTCCATGAAATAACAAAGTCCAGTATTCAGAGTGCTCTCTTAATGATAAATAAGCCTCTAAAATAGGCTTAGGAGCCACCTGATTGGCTGAGAAGCTATATTTAAGGCACTTTTATCAATAAATGAGGATTCAAAATATGTGTCAAAGTCTGTTCTAATATTTATATACACTTTTAATAATTTAATCATATTTTATATGTATTAGCATAGCATGGCTGCAGCATGGTGGTTACTACTAATAGCAGAAGAAGAGAAAAAAATGTTAAGAATACACAGGAGACAGTTACGAGACACAACTAATCCTTTTGATATGTTGGAATCGCAGTTTGTTCTTTTACATCGGTAAGTAAAAAAGTTTTGTAATAGACAAATATGAATTAACACTGAAAAATATATAAAATACATAGATTTTCAAAATATGCGACGTTAGCATTATGCAATACTATAAGACCTTACATAAGGGAAAATATAAGGACAACAGCAATTCCATTAGAACTTAAGGTATATATAGAATACATAATTATATAAAGGGATAAAGAAATATGCAATAAAATATTGATATATGTAAAATATATATATTATGAAAAATATAATACATTTTAATATATCTGTTACTACTTTGAAGGTTTAGCAACATTAAGTTTTTTAAGCTCAGGGTCATACCAAAGGAGAATTGGACAGGACTTCTTAAGTTGCATGTGTCAAGCATCTGTCAGTGGAACAATACATCAAATAATAACGGTATTAAATATAATAACGCCGCAGTGGATAAAATTTCCAATTCATCCTAACGACATACAGACCATCCAACAACAGTATCATAGTAGAATTATTTCTTATTATTCTTTAAATAACAAAAAAACAATAATCTAATAATAATGTTCTGGAAGTTTTCGCACTATAACTGAAATACAATAACATATATTTAGTTTGTAAAATAACTTATCATAACATGTATATGCAAAATTAAAACATAATTATGTTGTAGGTATTTGATCGAAGCAAATTTCCCAGGTGTAATAAGGTCAGTTGATGGGACACACATAGCAATTTGGCCACCTGGCAGAAATAGAGAATATTTATACATAAACAGGAAATTATTTCACTCTTTAAATGTTATGATTGTAAGTAAAAATTACTACATAATCTGTGTGTGCACTTATATTGCATGAGACAAAGAGAAAACATTACTCTATGACACACTTATATATTTTCAGTATATATATATATATAATAATTATTTATTCTAGATTTCTGATTACAATAACAAAATATTAGCTGTGACTGCGAATCATGGTGGTCGAACACACGATGTATGTCAGAGTATGAAGCTCATCTCATTTGTCGAGACATATGTTACAGAAATATGAAAATGGAAGAAGAAATGTTTGGTTATTAGGTAATTACAATGAAAATAAACAACGCGGATAAGAAAAATATATTTATTGACAATTATAATAAAACTTATGTTTTTAGGTGATTCTGGGTACCCATTGTTACCATATTTGATGACGCCCAAACGAAATCAACCACTTGGGTCTCCAAGTGCTTTGTATACGGACTGTTATATAAAAGCAAGATGCTCCGTGGAAAGAACAATTGGAATATGGAAAGGTCGTTGGAGGTGTTTGCGTAAAGAAAGGGCATTACACTATGCACCAGAATTTGCTGGTAAAATATAATTTGTTTTGATACTTAATAAAATACTCAACGCACACATTATTATACATTTTCGTTTTCAATATTTCAGCGTTTATAGTTAACACTACGTGCGTGTTACATAATGTAGCTAAGCAATACAATGTTCCATATGACGAAATATATGGAGATCACATTATTGATGAAGAAGATATTGTACCGTATAATCAATTACATGCAAATATGCATGCAAAAGGACACGCGACGCGCGAGACAATTATAGAAAGATATTTTTCATGAATATTTGTACACTATTGTTATAATGTTTATTGTGACATATAGTTGATTACATATTTAATAAAAATACTTTCCTTTATATTATTATAAATGTCTGCGTTTTATATTCATTACCAATACAGTTAACCAGTGTAATAACAATCATTATGATATATAACATTACATAAAATCGTAAACATAATATCACATGTTTCTTTATAGACGTAAACATAACATCACATAGACGTAAACATAAATCGTTAATATAATATCACTCGCTTCTTTATACGCAAACATAAATTGTAAAAATAACATCACATATTTCTTTATAAACGTAAACATAAATCGTTAATATAATATCACGTGTTTCTTTATAGATGTTAACATCAGTCATAAATATAATATTATCACATGTTTCCTTATTGAATTCCAAAAACATTTTTCATACTATAAATCCCCATTGTGTATCTGTAAAATTGATTTTATTTCTTTTAATTCAGCTAAGATTTCTTGATATACTGTTAATTGTTTTTTCCTAATTTTTAATTCTTTCTTTTTTATTTTTAATTTCTTGTATTACAAATATATTGATTATGATAAATTGAATATTCTATAACTGTTTCTATAAAATACCTTTTTTTATATTTGTATCTCCTTATACTGATGTTTTAACTTTGTTTCTGTTTGTTATGCTGTTATTTGGCTGCATATTTTCTGCATGTTCAACTTCTTCGGAACATGGAAACATTTCTGGTTCTTGGATTTCTACATTATCTGCTAGCCCGCCTTCTGGAATGTTCGTTAACCCGGCTGCTTCAGGTGTCAAAAAAATTAAAACTTCCTCTTCAAAATTAAAAAATGTTATGTTACAAGGAGAGCCACCACCTGTTCCCTGGACATAATTGCGTTTTTTTGCTTCTTTTTTTAAAATGTAGGATTTCATATCTTTCCATGTCTGAAAAAACCATACATGAATAAAACCTATTTCTTTATCATATAACAACATTATATCAAATGACATCATAATTATGTCTTTAACGTTAATAATATCTCAGTGACCAACTCAGTTAGCACAAATCTCCAAAAGACTTCTTAAAGAATTCCAAAACTTCTGGAGGATTTGGGAACTCTTTTGGAACTCTTTCAGAAATTTTTTTGAAATTTGTGCTATACGACAAGTTACATTAATGTAACATCAATGTTATAATTTCGCACTTAAGAATGTAACTATTATATAACATACATGTTATATTACATTAACATTATTGAGTAAGAAATTATGATGAGAATAATGATGTTATGTTACTGTTAGCATTCATTTGGATGTTATTTAATGTAATTTTGCTGAATTTTAATAATTAATAATTTTTCTTAAAAGTATATTTTATTCTTAAACTAGAGACATTATTAAGTAAAATGTTTGCTATTTGCCAACAGATTAGCAGATTTGATTATAATACCATGGCAAATTCAAAGTCGCTTTGTGCACGCATTAGGTTTATATTCATTATTCATTGATACAACCTTCCAATAAGCCATATGATATCAGATTGATAACAAATTTAAGCAAGTTTGTCAATGGATCCATAGTCCATATCCAATTAAAAATTAAAACAAATCCATGCATATGTGTCAAAACTATTAAATGATCTAAATTAATTTTAATGATTAGGAACAAATTCTGCTTATTTTCTGTCATTAATGTTGTACTTTGTTAGCAGATCCTATAATATTTTTGCTATCATACACGAACACGTACACAGAGAAAGAAAGAGAGATACTGCTAAAATTTATAGTAGACACTGTAGTTGCAGAAGCTGTCCTACAAATTTCTGTCCTAAATAATATAAAAATATGTATATTTAAGCTTTGCCCATTCTTGACCGCTTTTTTGAGGACCTGCGTTTATTTTTTCGGCAATTTCATTCCACATGTTATTCTACAAGATTTAATATTATTTTTTATATAAGATCTTGGTTTCATAGTAAATCTATATATTAATATATACCCTCACAGCACAAAATGCCCAGGGAATATCCAAAGGACGTCCCAAGGACGTACGTAGGACATAGGAACGTCCTTGAGATCTTCTTGGGACGTCCCCTGGACGTTGTGCTGTGTGGGTAAGCAATATTGATACTCACTAATTTCCTTTTGCTTTCACTTTTTCTATCGACTTGGCCTTTCACTAATTCCTCGTGATCATTTAAATTATTTAATAACATTTCTTTTTGTTTCGATGAAATATGCATGTGCTTTATTTATGCCTATATGTATTGTCTATATGTATTGTAATTTATTACTTTTCCGCACTTAAAAATTTTATGATTCGCGGCTTATAGTAATAAATAGTTATTTTCTTCGCCCTATATCATAACGTGTTTAGTGATTTCTCTTTTGACAAGTTTCAATACGTAATCGCTCTGTGATTCGTGAAAAGATTCACGCGGAATTTGGACAAGCGGAATCGTGAAAAGTGAAAAGTTCCGCTCAAAGTTACATGATCGCTGCCCAGATGCTGTTATTACAAACAAACTTCCAATAGCTCCCACATTTGCAGTATCTATCTACAACTCGTTAATAAATTAATTTTTCCATATTTTTTACTACAATTATCCCAGCAAACACAAAATATAACTGTTATATAACATAGACGTAACACATACTCTTGTTACTTCTATGTTATATAGCAATTATGTCTTTCTTTATTAAGATTGTAATATTTCGACTATATTTACTACACATTTTTGTACATTTATTGAACATATCACATCAATTACTATTATTCTCTATCCTTTTCATCCATTAACCCAGATACAGCACAAAATATTTATAAAATATTTACAAAATATTTATAAGATTTATTTGAATACTTTATGAATATTTACCAAAATGTTTCATAAATATATTTACAAATATATTTACAAAATATTTTTGTAATCTTAGATTCAATAGATGAAAAATATTTATATCTGATAAGTATTATAAAAATATTTATTAAAATATATATATTTATATACATTTTTCTCTTTTCGTGCATTTTTCTTAAAATTTCCACTTTATTGTTTCACACGCTACTTAATTGAATTTAAATTGTACTTTGAAAATTTGCTTACCATTGCTGAGATTCGAATTTCTTATTTTTTTATTAATTTAATAATGTTAAATAACATTTATTTTTTTTCATATATAATATTTGTAAATAGATATATTACAAAATATTACTACAAATATTTATTTTTCGTTTGCTATAAATATTGTATAAAACATTTAGTCTGTATTTTAATAATATTTTCAATGAAGATTTTGATACTTTTTCCTTTATGTATATAAAATATTTATATTATATTTATGTAATATTTTTAAGAAATAATTCGAAATAAATATTTATCATAAATATTGTGTGCTGTCTGAGAAACGCACTACTTTCTGTACACCAAAGAACCGTACTTAAGGCTCCTGGGGAGTCGCATCATCCATCTCTTTTTAATGACGTCAGAAGCGAGAAAACGCATGCTAAAAATTCCTGCAAAATACGTTGAGATAAACAGATATATCCACAAAACGACATTTGCGATCGATTAAGTACACCTCTAAAATACTCCGTACACTTTCCTTTTGTTCTAACAATCAACAGATAATTATAAAATAAATGTGACGTGCAATCGTCTTTTCTAACCTAATTTCCTCATTATCTTGTCATATTAATTTTCCGATTACACAGGTCTACAAAAAAAAATTTTCAAAAATTTACT